TGCCCCCATCGTGCCCCCATCGTGCCCCCATCGTGCCCCATGCATCATCTCGTGCCTGTAATTCACCGAGGGAGGAAAATGTGACATGGCCCAGCCCCGGTGCGCAGGGTGTCACGGCAAGGTGTGCCTCTGGATTTTGTCTGAGAGGCTGTGGGTAGCTCTTGAACGTGGGGCGAGGAAACCGATGCTGTGAACCCCCGGCTGCTGTCTCTGTTCCAGGGGGTAAATATAGACCTGCCTGCCCCTCTCACTGCCCCCTTCACCGCAAAAGAGATTTCGCAATCGTTAACCCCGGCCCTTCTGTGACTGACAAGCACACATTGACCGACGCTTCTCGCCATCGGAAACCCCAGCGATTTGTTAATGTTTATTAACAGCTACACGGTCTCCCGGGGCAAGAGCCTGGTTTCTCCATGTAGGGCATTGGCTGGCAGTGATGGGAACTCAAATATGAGGCAGGATGCAGCGAGGCTGCTGCAAAGGGCACCAGATGCCAGAGGACTCAAGATAGGATGCCTGCTGCATCGAGCTTATCCCCTTTAGGAAAGCGAGTTCTTTTCTGATGCACTCCTGAACAGCAAGGTTCTGCAGGGTAGGGAGGGAAAGCAGAGTTGTTCCCCACAGTCTCGGCATAGCTGCTGTTTTAGGGGGAGCTGTAGGGCTGGTGAGCAGTGCTGGGGAGGGGGCTCTGTCTGTGAGTCTCTGAGAGCCAAGACGACACAGCACCCGCACGGGGGCCAGTGCTGCTGTGCTAACACTCATGGTTTTTTGTGTTTCCCACCCAAGAATGGACAGGAACAGCAGCATTGGTGGCATGGAGGGCCAGCTCAGGAGCCCCAGCCAGGAGGTGGTGAGTATTTTGGGGGCTGCTAGCCTCATTTCACAAGGTGAGGTGGGAGCTGCTGCAAGGACCTGCTTTGTGGCTGATCAATTTGTAACTACTTTTCTCTAGGAAATGCTGCTTTTTCTCTCAGGCAAAGCACTTTGTATGGTGGGGGGAAAAGGGCAGTGGCAGGTCTGGCCAATGGTGCTGGGTGGTGAGAGAGACTAGAAGGGACAGGAACACCTGGGCTTCTGCATACCTGGATTTCAGCAGGAGGAATCCAACACTGAGAACTGACCTGGTCTGAGGTGAGAATGGGGAGAAGCTCCTGGCCTCCCCCAGGACACCCACAGCAGTCAGCACAGGATGATTTTGCCAGAGATGAACCCCAGATTTGCTTCCCAAGCTGTTACAGCTGGCAGAGACTCAGGGCTGTCCAGTGTCCCAACATATCCTGCCGTGGCTCTGCCTTCTCCCTGCCCTACTGCACTCCTGCCCCAGCTCCTGCCACTCCTTCTGCCCCTTGTCCAGGTGCAAGGGACTGTTCCAAGACCCTTTCTGTTCTGGGCTGCAAAGATAAACTGCCTGTGCTTCATTCCAGACCTGACCTAGCTCCCTAACTGAGAGACATGTGGCAGGAACCTGGTATTGGGATCATCCCATCCTTCCCAGCTTCCCCACAGAGACCCATGGGGTGAGCCTGGGGCTTCCTCCACCTCCCTGGGCTGCCATGGAGCCCTTGTGGCCTTTCCCAGCCATCAGGACAGGACCCTTCACCAAGTGAAGGGTCACATAGCGTGGAGCCAGGAGAGCTGGAAACTTCTCTCCTTGCAAAAGCCTCCTTCAGTTCCCAGGGTGAGGTCCTATGGTGGGGGAGGTTGTCCCAATTTCCCCCCATTTCCCCCCATTTCCCCCCATATCCCCACAGCTCTAGGCATTGGTAGAAGCTTCTGAGTGTGGGTTCTTGCTGCCTCCAGTAGAAGTTTGTATGAAATTCAAAGGGCTTTCCCCAATGCAGCACTAAGCATCAGTGTGGAGTTCATCTGGACAGTCCCCCCTACTCTTTCAGTCTGATGAATTGTTTCCCAAACATCTGCTGGTAGCTCTTCTATTTAATGGGGAGAGTGAAAGAAGAACACCTCTTCCCCCTCTTTGTGGGTCACTTGTTCCCTCAAGAGTGTCCTGGCAGGGTACATCCCCCACACCTTCTGTCGATGTCCCTGCTGCTGAATCGTGCTGGGGCTGCAGCTTCCCGGCTCCAAAATCCGCTGCTTTCATCAGCCCTGTACCCTGTGTACCCTGCACCTCAGGCCATGCAGGAGCTGGCTCGGGAAGGGCTGTGGGGCCTGTGCCAAGCGCTGCTGGCAGCAGTGCCCTGGCACAGGAGCGCTCCCAGAACAGCCCCGCCGGGGCCCTGCTCAGAGCCCATCGGGGCAGTCAGTGCCATGGGGATGGTTTACACCCCCCTCTCTGCCCGGGGAACACCTTCGGGCTTTGGAGCCAGTATTCTCCTCCCTTTCTCACCGTTTTGCAGTATTTGTGTGTCTGAGCAGAGTTTAATTTCTCACCCCCAGTTCAAAGCTGTCGGCCACCCACGGGGCAGCCACGGCTTGTGAATATCTTCCGTGTGTGTCCTGGCCCCGGGCGGGCTGCGCGGCGCTGGGCGCACACAGCCCGGGGCGATGCTGCAGCCGTCCTGGGGCAGGCACTGCAGCCTCGGGGAGCCTCTGAACCCTGCCACAGCGTTTGCATTAAAATGCGGTGAAGCGATGAACCCGTCCAGATCACAGCATCGCCCTGCTCCCCGGCGGTGCCTGGCCCAGCCCTGCCCCGAGCTGGAGCAAGGGCAGCACCTTCTCCCACCTGCCTGCTTTTGGAGACCTGCCCGGACTCAAGGGGAACGAAGGACGGCTTCCGTGTCTCAAGTGACTCTTGCCCAGGTTCAGGTACAGAGATATTTGTGTTCCCGAATTCTGGACAAACAAGTATTCACCCCTTAGGCAAAACACAAACTCTCGCAACCTGGGGAGATGCTTTTCCCTGAAGCTCAGTGTAATTAAAAAAAGTAACAACGCAGGGGTTTCTTCAAAGACTGAACACTTGCTCACACGCCAAGAAAAACAAGCTGCTTGATCTCTTAAATACTGCTGCCTGCTATCATCTGTGGCAGCACAGAGAATGTGCACTTGAACTCAGAGATGTTGCAGAAGTGTGGGAACGGTTCCAGCCTTCCCAGATCACAGGTTTTCTTTGGTCATGTTCATGCAGGTGGAAAAAGATGAGTTTCTGTAAATGCCAGCACAAGGAGACAGTACCCAGTGTGACAGCAGTGACGTACATGTCATGGAAAAATGGATGCTGGGTTCTAAGTGATCTTAACTTGGAACAGCCAAAACTGCCTCTCTTTAACTCAAGAGTGATGATGGGAAAATGGAAATTTGAAACATTTCCAGATATTAAGTGCTTTTGCATTTATTTTTGGCCAATGAGAAGTTCAGCTTGCCTGTGGGGGTTGTGTTCTTCAACTCTTCCAGGAAAATAAGGACGAGGAGAAGGTCCAGGATCCTGACAGAGAGAAGGACGAGCTTAAGGCAGACATGGGGAGCAAAACCTGGGCAGACCTGGCTGGGGAGATGAAGATTTTCTTGTGGAATCCGGAGGAGAGAACATGCTTGGGGAGAACAGCCAAGAGCTGGGGTAGGTCCTTGCTCAAGCCCCACTTTTGGGGATTATTGCCTTTTCTTCTTCACAATGGATTCACTTGCCTGTGAATGTCTTTGACAGCTTGGACTGACCACCTCTGCCCATTTCTTTAGTGTTAATGTTTCTAGCTAGTGCAATAAATAACTAGTGAGGAGGACAAGCAGAAAACCATGTAAAAGTTACCCTTGGTCTGGAGGTTAATGCTGAGGGAGAATGTGAAAGCAGATTTCAGGCTGCCCAGCCTGTCCCAGAAAGAAGTTTAGAGCCTGAACAAGCAGGGGAGCTGCAGGTCAGTCTGCTGCAGCTGTGCACCCCTGCTGCCACCAGCACTTCTGCCCGTGCCTGGGTAAGTCAGGGACCCCTGTTACAGTGGCTTTGGAGTCATCAGGTTGGTGGGGGAAGAGTGCCCTTGCTGTGGGGCAGGTGTTTTGTAGGGGGCAGAGCAGCCCTCCCTGCCTGAATGAGCCCTGGCTCTAGAAAGGGAAGGGAAGGGCTGGTCAGCACTCTCACCCCACAACTTCCCAGGTAGTGACAGGGTGCCCACAGCAGGACCCACAGTGCTGTCAGAGCCAGGGGACTGGGATGTGCCAGCTCTGATGGTTCTGAGTGCCCTGTCTACTTTTTCCACACCCATGTGGCCTTCAAAAATTATTGCTGAGTCTGGAGGTGCCCCGGCTGGTTAAGAGCAGCCTGTGGGGTGAGCACTGCTGCAGGCTTGGTCCAAAATCAAGGTGCCACAAGCACATGCAGTGCCACCCACCTTTGCAGCTCTGTTCTGAGCCCCCTTGGCAGAGTGAAAATCCCAACCTGACCCAGAGCCACCTGCACATCCACCAGTGTAAGGCTGTGAACTACCAGGGGCTGTGGCTCTGTGTTTGCAGCCCTTGGCTGGCACTGACAGTGCACCACAAGACCCACAGCCCTCCCATGCCCCTGCCAAGAGCTCTGGGTCTCCTGCAAAACCTGTGATGACAGCTGGGAGAAACAAAGGAAGCTGCCCACCAGCACCAGAGGAGTCTGAAAACCTTCAAGTATGAGTCTGGTACAGACCTTGACATTTATGTTTGCGCTCCTGTGCCCTTTGCTGGCCACAGAGGCAGACACAGAGGTTTTTCTGCTTCTTTGCTGGATGAGAAGGCATAGTGTGTAAAGTGTGGAAGCAGTAGGGTGACAGTCCTTGGTAAGTTTGGTTTTCTGGAGGCTCTTCTAGGTTCTGAGAAGATCCTTGTGAGAGGATTTGCTCAGTCTGGTGTGGATGTGACCTTGGCAGGTACTGCTGGCAGTGCTTAGCAGCACTGGAGTGGGTGCAGCATCCTCCTGTCCCCTGGGATCACTGTGCTCTGCTATATGAGCCCCCTGCCCATGAACATACGTGCCTTTGGTGCACACACATGTGCTCACATGTCTCTATATGGGGGCAAGAGAAGTTACTACAAAAATAAAAATTTATTTCAAAGTGAGAGATTTGGAAGTGAGTGGAACTGAACTTTCCTACTGTCATCTCATGGGTGGGGAGGAGGGAATTTCCCCAGCCTGGGGCTGCTCCCCTGTGCTGGCTCTAAATGTGTCCCCTGGGATGGGGGCCTCAGGGGACTTGCACTCTCCAAGGGAGACAACTGTCCGCAAGGTCATCACTGGAGGCCCCAGCCCCTGGGGAAGGCTGAACCCCCCTCTCTGCTGGTGACAACACTCTGTGCTGCGCTGTAGGAAACATAAAAATGGAAGCAGTACTGGGAAGAGGTCCCAACAAACATCAATTTGGTGCTCCAGCAACGGCTCCAGCTCTGCCAGGCTGGGGCAGAGGCACCATTCAGCATCACTCTGGCAGAGCTGGACATTGTCCCTTCTGTGCCACCAGCAGCAGTGATGGTCCCATCTGCCCCGGCTTAGCCCTCAGCAGGACACAGCCCCACAGTGGTTCCCAGCACGATGGCCCTGGCAGAAGCACGGCAGGAGTGCACATCTGTGTTCCCAGGGCTCCCTCCAAGCTGCCGGAACGTTTCTCCTGGGAAATGTTTGGGTTAGGGCTTCGCTTTGCTTTCTGAGCTGCTGGGTTTTATTCATAGGCTGTGGCCTCTTGAGACATCCTCAGCCATCAGTCTGGTCCAGAGGAAAAACAAACCCATTCCCTGAATGTCTGGGCTATGAAACAGTCAGTGGTGCTGCAGCCCTGAGCGATGCTGCTTGCTCAGTCCCAGCACCAGGGTCCCTCCCATGCAGGGGACAGGAATCAGGGCAGGAGCATCACCTCACAGCCCCTTCAGGAGTTTGGCTGAAGCCACTGGGTACCTTTGCATGTTACCATGCCAGGAGGGGGTAGGAAGAGGGAATGTTGGATCCATCTGTTGGAGAGAGCTGAGGTATGTGGACACACAGACCTGGTCCTGACACAGCTCTGGGAAGGGTCACGCAGCAAAAGGAATACAGAACCCACCAGCAGCTACCCTGACCCCGAAGTAGTTGAGAGTCCTGCACCCAGAAACACCAGAGTCTGTGTGCAGGGCTGGGGGTGCAAGCTCCCACTTCCACCACGGACTCAGAGCTGCAGAGGACGCCGTGCTGAGCACGTCTGTGCATCCCTGTGGGACACTTCCCACGGGATATGCTCTGCTTGCCTTAACAGGGACACGCCTGTCTCTTTTGCAGGCTTGATCTTACTGTTTTACTTCATTTTCTACACGTGCCTGGCGGGAATGTTTGCCTTTTGCCTGTATGTGATGCTACTCACGCTGAGCCCCTACACACCCAGGTTCCGGGACCGTGTGTCTCCGCCAGGTACGTACCCCAGCCAGCCTGGCCTTGGACACCTCTGCCCATCGGTGTCCTACCAAAATGGCATAGCTAGGACCTCAGGTAAAGCCCTGCTGGAGCTGTGCACTCCTACAGTCTCCCAGCCCTCCCTAAGACAGGGTGGTCTCACCTCAGGGCACTGGCAGAGCTGCAGGTTCTCTGCAGAGGACCAGACATCTTAAAAAGCCCCATGAGAAGCATTCACCCAGATGATACTAATTGTTATTCAAATTGCACTGTTTATTGTTATCACTATTCTCAAGGCAAAAGCAAACTTTAGGTATTTCATTGGTGATGCTGATGCATTTCAGCTGCTGGCCCTTTATACCTCATGCCTTCAAAATAAAATACAAATCAAGAGTAGCCTTTACGCATTATTATTTTGGGGAGTTCTGGCAAGAGAATGTTCAGAAAATCCTTTCCCTATGTCAGACACATAATTTTTGCTGTGTTTTTGTGTTGGTGGGGAACAGAAGGGCCCCTTGCCCTGCTCCTTGTCTGGAACTGCCCCTGCAGCTGGGAACATAGGGGACCTGCAGCCACATTGTGCAGCCACAAGTCCATCACTAACCCACAGCACTACTGAAGCTCTCCACATCTCCCATGTTTCCTGGGATATTTTGATGTGTATGGTGTTCTCCAGGGGTGAAATGAAGGTTGAGGAGAGAGTTGATTTAGAGCTGGTGCTGCCTCTCTAATGCCTGTGCCCGTCCCAAGCCCAGTGGCAATGCACCGGCCCCTGCAACACACAGCCCAAACCCATGGCTGCTCCACCTCCATTTGCTTTATCAGGGTCTGTCTCCTTCTTCAGGAGTGATGATCAGACCGTACTTGAATGGGTTCACCATTGCCTTCAATGTCTCCCAGCCCAACACGTGGCAGCCCTATGTGGACAGCATGCACCACTTCCTAGCAGGTGAGCTCTTTGTCACCCTGGGAGTCATGGTGAGGTTGTTTTTATCCATGGGTACATGCATGTGGTGCAGGGGTCTCCTCACGAGCCACATCTGGAAAGGGAGGCTCACAAGGTCAATGGGAGCTGCTGTGGGAGGGAGCTTTGCCTTTCCAGGTGTGAATTCCTAATGCCTTTGACATGTAGATGTCCTCTGAGAGTTTGAGATCTCGGGGGTTTTAACAAGTCTCTTGGTTCCCACCAGCTTATGATGACAAACTCCAGGAGGAGAAGAATATTGAGTGTGTCCCAGGACAGTACTTCATCCAAGGGGGAAACGACAGTGAGGAGAAGAAGGCCTGCCAGTTCAAGCGCTCGCTGCTGCAGAACTGCTCTGGCATCGAGGACCCAACGTTTGGCTACTCCAGAGGCCAGCCCTGCATCCTGCTGAAGATGAACCGGGTACAGAGAATGCTGCTTGTTTTAATTCCTTCCTTTGGGGCATTCCAGTGTAATGAAGATCACACAGGGACTGAAACTCCTTCACTTCTCAGGCCCAGGGAAAGAGGGAACTAGAATCCCCAAACCTGCTGGCCATATCTGCTAGAAAACATTAAAAAAATAATATAAATCTTGCTCCATTTGGTTTGCTGAGGCCTTAGTGCTTGGAGGGTCTTCTGCCAGGCCCTTCTTCATGAGGAACTGAGCTTTAGGGGAACACCCCAAGACCTAAGATGCTTTACAATGGGAGTTTTCTTAGAATTTAATTGAATTGAAGTCTAATAGCATGGTGGTTCAGTGCTCACTGCTGGGAAAATAAGCATGGAGAGATGTGAACTGTGTGGGGAGGAGGCTGTGTTACTCCAGGGGGTCTGGACTCCCTCTCTGTGTGCTCTGCCCCTGCTCCCAGGCAGCAATCTGGCACTCAGCCGTGGGCAGGTTGCACTGTGTGGGGTGGCAGACCCTGCTGCAGGGGGCAGGTTGCACTGTGTGGGGTGGCAGACCCTGCTGCAGGGACAGCTCCTGTCTTGAGCAGTGTGTCTGGCACCCAGAAAGGTGGAGGCCCTGGAGAAGAAAGGCAGCACGTGCTTGGCACTGCATTTCATACAAGCATGGGTGTTTTTTGTTTTTGCAGATCATAGGCTACCGCCCTGGTGCTGGGGTCCCTGTGAGTGTGGACTGCAAAGTGCAGGTACTGCTTTCCTCCCTGCCCAGCAGTGTGGTGGGTACAAGGTCAAATGCCTCCTCCTGATGGACCTCAGCACAATTTGTCTTCATTTTAGCCCCAAACACTCACAGGACACAGTGCTGCCCATGTCTGAGTACAGTTGGAGGCCAGTCTGCTGAGAGTGACAGAGGTCACCAGTCCTCCCATGTTGCTCCTGCAGCCTCACGGGCACCATCATGCTCAGCCCCTGGGGCAGCCTGTGGGCCTGAGTGCCAGGTCCCAGCTAGAGCCTGGAGCTGTGGCAAGATGTAGGAAATGCTCATATCCATCTCCAGCTGCTCTGCAGCACCCTCAGTCCTGGGGGCACCCTGCAAGCCCACAGCAATGGGCTGAAGGAAGGGCTCCCACTACCCAGGCAGCTGCTGGATCACACCCCTAGAGAGCAAAGGCGCAGTAGGGAATCACCAGGCAGCAAACTGTAACCCTGCCCATGGCCATGTAGCTCCACTCTTCCTGGGCTGGAAACAGGGCCGTGACTGGGCTCACAGCAAACACAGCACAGCTGAGCTTAGCTGGGGGCTGGCAAGGGACATTCGCTCTGAGACAAGCTCTGAAGGGAGCTGTATTTTTTGTCCCATGACCTATGTGTGTGCATGTGCCTCTGGTTTTTTTCTGATCACAGAAAGGCAATGAGAGTCACCTCAGGTCGGTGGACTTCTACCCTGGGAACGGGACGTTTGACCTCATGTATTATCCCTACTATGGCAAGTTCACCCACGTGAGTAAGGGTCTGGAAGCTCTGTTTATGCTTCCTTGGGAATGGGAGGGCAGGAGCTGCTGCACAGGGTCCAGATGTGCTTTGGAGCTATTTTGGGCAGACATGGGCAGGACAGAGGCCACGGGCACTGCGATTATGGCGCTCTGTTTCTGTGTCTGACAAACCGTGTGTATGAGTGTGTGTAACAGTGTGTGAATGTGTAACAGTGTGTGTGTAACAGTGTGTGAATGTGTAACAGTGTGTGTGTAACAGTGTGTGAATGTGTAACAGTGTGTGTGTAACTGTGTGTGAATGTGTAACTGTGTGTGTGTAACAGTGTGTGAATGTGTAACAGTGTGTGAATGTGTAACAGTGAGTGTAACAGTGTGTGAAATGTGTAACAGTGTGTGAATGTGTAACTGCGTGTGTGTAACAGTGTGTGAATGTGTAATTGTGTGTGTAACAGTGTGTGAATGTGTAACTGTGTGTGTGTAACAGTGTGAATGTGTAACAGTGTGTGTAACAGTGTGTGAATGTGTAACAGTGTGTGAATGTGTAACTGTGTGTGTGTAACAGTGTGTGAATGTGTAACAGTGTGTGAATGTGTAACTGCGTGTGTGTAACAGTGTGTGAATGTGTAATTGTGTGTGTAACAGTGTGTGAATGTGTAACAGTGTGTGAATGTGTAACAGTGTGTGTGTAACAGTGTGTGAATGTGTAACAGTGTGTGTGTAACAGTGTGTGAATGTGTAACAGGGTGTGAATGTGTAACTGTGTGTGTAACAGTGTGTGAATGTGTAACAGTGTGTGTGTAAGTGTGTGAATGTGTAGCTGTGTGTGTGTAACAGTGTGTGAATGTGTAACAGTGTGTGTGTAACAGTGTGTGAATGTGTAGCTGTGTGTGTGTGTAACAGTGTGTGAATGTGTAACAGTGTGTGAATGTGTAACTGTGTGCGAATGTGTAACAGTGTGTGAATGTGTAACTGTGTGTGAATGTGTAGCTGTGTGTGTGTAACAGTGTGTGAATGTGTAACTGTGTGTGTGTAACAGTGTGTGAATGTGTAACTGTGTGTGTGTGAACAGTGTGTGAATGTGTAACTGTGTGTGTGTAACAGTGTGTGAATGTGTAACAGTGTGTGAATGTGTAACAGTGAGTGTAACAGTGTGTGAATGTGTAACAGTGTGTGTAACTCTGTGTGTGTGTATGTGAGTGCATGTGGATTTTAGGACAGCAGAAAGCATTTGAGAGCCCCATGGTCTGGAGTTGTCCTGGGCAATGAACCCAAGAGGCAACATGTAGTGATCCCATCTCACTGAGGCACAGACACAGAAAGGCTCAGCATGCTGAGGGACCTGATGGACATCAGCCAGACACTCTCAGATGCCTGGAACCATGAACCATTTACGAATTATTTTACTGAACATAAAAGCCCTGTCTTCTTTTCTTCTCCCTCAAAAATTACACTTAAATCTCCTTTCCTTCCAGGTCAACTACACCTCCCCACTGGTGGCTATGCACTTCACAGATGTGCAGAAGAATTACTTGGTCCCCATCCAGTGCCGTCTGAATGGGAAAGGAATTATCAACGACCTGAACAGTGACCGCTTCCTGGGCCGAATCATCTTCACACTCAACATTGGGAAGTAGCCCCTGCCAACACCAGACACTTAGGTTAAATCAGAGGCTTTTTCCTTTTTAAAGCATCAAGACAGCATTTTTTTCTGCTAGGAAAAACAGGCACATGGACATTATTGTTAATTTATTTTTGTTCATAGTTAGGAAACCAATGAGATAAAATGGTGCATGGATCCACATTTTTCATCTTCTGATGTAAATCATTTTTAGTGAAAATTAAATGTTTTCCCCTGGGGAGAGAACCTGAAAAAGATTTTATTTTTGATTGAAAAAAACCTCTGGTATCCAAATGCTATTTTCATAAGGTCTTTTATGAGTGATCCCTGTGGAATGCATCTTTCCTGGCTTTACATTTTATTTTTTTAGCATAGTTTTATGTACATTTTTCAGGCAAAAGCTAAAAAGGAGGTAGTTCATTAGCACTATTCTTGTTAAAATGATAAACAGCAAAAATTCTGGATCATGCCTGCAATATCAGAGTAGAAAAGTGAAAATGGCAGCTCTCAAAATGCTTTCTAGGATCTCCAGCCCCACAAGCATCTTGACTACAGCATTTTACACAGCTTGTTCAGCACACCCAAGGTGCTGAGCAAGGGCCACAGAAAATTGTTTGCCCTTGAGCCCTTCCAGCTGTTCCTTTCTAAAGTGGGAAGATTAATGCATTTCTCCCTCCTTCCTCCTCACTCCAGTACTTCTCTCTGTCCCAGGAATCCTCACCCCGTCTCTTGGACAGGGATGAGTGAGAGGAGCTCTTCTCTCCTGTCTTGGTTCAGAAGTTGCCAGTGCCTCCTGATCAGGCACAGAAGTGCCTGAAGCTTTCAGACCTGTTCTTCCCCATTCCAGAGAGGTCACAGCTACAGAGCTGCAGCAAAATGCAGGGAAATAACGCAGTCCTTTTACTGTTAAGGGGGTCAGAGTTTGGGTGACTGTAGGCATCAGTTTATCACCCCTAAAGGTTGATGAAACAGAGTGCACTGCCCTGAGCAGGCTAAGCCTCCCTCAGGTGTGACAGAGACCAGTTGCACTCTGTTTGCTGGGAGCTGTGAGAACACAGCAGGACAGGACACCTTGGGATAATGCACTACTTGGAAAGCACGCTTACTAAAATTAATGACTGAACAGGGGCATTATGGTATGTTTGTCCTACATCCATAGCCAAGGAACTTTATCTACTGTCATTTTCTGATCTATATCGGTCTCTAAGAAGTGATTTTTTATATTTAAAATAAAATGACTACAGTAAAATTAACTCCTTGGTGGCATTCTTGAAACACTGGTGTTGAGATGCAGTTTGTGCTGCCAGTTAGGGACTGAATTTCCAAACAGCAGGTAACAACATCCCAGAATTCTTGAGCACTTGATAAACTGCCCCAGGCTAAAGAGTTCAGGAGCCCAGAATAATAAGACTCACTCTTCACCAAGCATCACAATCAATCATCTGGCAAAAACTATTTATTAAGAACTGTTAAATACCTGAACTAGGTTAGTTTAGGAACTAACTTGGCTCAGTTGTCATTATCCAGATGGCACTGATAGAGCCAGGGCAACATATTCATTATGTCTGCACAAATTATCTGCAAGGGCATTTTCTGACCCACAGAAAATGGCTGCTGCCAAGGAGGATGCTGCTGGGGAAGTTGCTCTTCTTTTGACATCAGAAATTAGTTAAACCCACAAGCATTTCTCTGTCAATTACTTTAGCTCTTATAAAGCATTTGTATTTGTGGGGTCTTGAAAGGAAACCAAACTCATTGTGTTTCATGCTAATAAATTAACAGCCTTCACACTAGCAACAAGATAAAACTTTATTTAATATCTATTCCCTATCTGTCTATTGGAAGGATTCTGCTGGAAGAGGAGGTCCCATCTTTAGCAGGTGCTAGACCCATGCTTTGAACAAATCAACAAAAAAAATCAGCTGATTTGGATGTAAATCTGTGAATAGCTTAGAAGCAAAAGCTTCTGTTTCCCGACAAACATCCTGATCCAAGCACATTGACAGCCCCTCTGGAAAAGCTCTCAGAAATGGCATTCATGTCTATTTACACTGAAACAGAGCTTTATAAACACAAAAATTAACTTTATTATATTCTGCTGTCAGCATATTTGTACAGTCATTTTAAGATCGGGAAAATTGTAGACACCACTCTTCATGCTGCAACAACCTTAAAGTGCTGGATCAATTTTTGACTTCTGTTGAAGCTCAAAATAATACTTTCTACATATATACAAAATATATATGTATACGTGTTTGCATCTAGAAAATGACCACATTTCACTAAGATAGCCTAGCAAAAGTGATATCAAATACTTCAGTCTGCAATCTCAGCATGAAAACATAGCTGTGATCCATCTGCTGGCAGCAGAGAAGCACCACACTGAAAAGTGGGTGTACTCATAAAATGCCACCTGAAATAATTCCATTTAACACTGGCAGGGAAATCAAGTATTGCGAGAGCAAAGGTACAGTACAAGAGACCAAGACAACCAAACCTAAAGCACACAGTCCAACTCAGCAGCATTTAACTATGTTCCTATAAAAAAAAAAAGACAACATGGTCCAAGAGCCCGCTTTGTACTATAGAATTACTTTTGTCAGAATCAGGTAGAGTGTATCTTTGGTCACTGTGAGAACAAGAATAATTGAATGCACAGGTATTACTCAAACATCAAAACTAACTCTTTGGACAACTCCCTTCCCTGAACACACAGCTATTCTGAGTTGCTTAAACATCAGTGCTGACTGTCACCTTTGTGTATGTGAATTACTGAAGGTGCATTTCCCACAACATGGGTACAGGGTCAATGCACAGAGAGATTAAATAGTGAAGCAGCTTTAGTAAACACTTGCTGCAGAGGACAGAACTTTGTGCACCCTCAAGGTTTATTGGCTGCAAATGGCTTTTGCCAAGATGGACAAAAAGGTTTCAAGAGCAAGAGATTTCTTTCATTCCATCAACACGAACCTGATGGGAATGAAGCAGAACACAACCACAAACTACTAAATTTGATTTTTGTACAGTTTAGATATGGAACATCGAAGTGCAAAGGTATGGCACTAATAATAAAGAAAGGATCTTCAAACAGGTAAGATAAGATGCTCTTATTCCTTTGGAAGTCACTTTCTTCACTATACATAATATTCATTTCTGCTTTATGAACAGCATTCCTCATGCTAAAAGGTTTGTGCTCTTACACTGAGACAGCAATAATAAGGAAGTTAAAAGCAGATTAATTCTATCAAACCTGAAAGGCTTTATATGTCCACTTGCATTCAGAGATCATAGCTTTTCAGTGATCCCTATGAAACCTATTAACCTATGAAAGCTGTCCAAAGAAACTGCAGGAATCTCTGAGCAATGTGTTCTTAGCCAGTCTGAGTTCTCTCAAAATACTTTTGAGCCTCACATGGACCAATGCTGTGTAGTTTCTTTTATGTTCAGAATCAAAGCTGAGAGAAACTGCAGCCAGTGAAATTCCAGCCTCCCACCCTCATTTCACAATTGAGCTCAGAACAAAAGGAAAAATACAGTTCAACAAAATAGCACAGGAGACATTTCCTTCAGCAGACTGGCCTTTTCTGAGTAGCCGAAGTTCTCCAGACCTGAACCTTATCTTCGCAAATTAGACACCATGGTAAATCTATTCAACTTACATTAGCAGTCAGCTTCTCCATATGATGTTAAATAAAAGAATTTACTAGAAAAATCAGATGTTCTTCTCATATGTCAGGGTATTATTGAGATCAGGTACTACTTTTACATTCAGAAGGAATAGGAAATTCAGGCTGATTCACAGGAACAGCCATATGCCAAGCTCCCAGAAGAAGTCTGTTGAGAGCTGGGTATTCATTTCCCCACTGCATGTACAGTCTCTTTTGACACAGCATTCACACTTTTAATTAGTTTTAGCTGTAGCATTAACCAAGACAAGCTGTAGGCATCTAGAAATTCTCTTGTATAAAAAGATTAAATGACAGAAAGTTTTGTAGGTGTCTTTGCTAAAAATAATCACACTTCCCACAGGAACACACCAACTATGGTCAATTCTCTGGACCTCAGAACACTTATTTTCTCCAAAGTCATACAGTAGCTCCTGCAATTCACCTTCAGACCCATGGCATGTTATTCTGTCAGGAAGTGACTGTTATTCTGTCATCAACCCTTTTAACTTTAAATAAAAAAACCTTGAATTAATTTGTTTTTCTTTTAAGGAGCAGGTCAGGAAGTCTGGGAAAGGGAAAAGAACAGGGAAGGTAGAACAGAGATGAAATTAAGAGATTATACAGACTGATAGCCAGTACGACTTTTTCTTCTTCCAATGATGTAAGAGATAAAGACAAGAATGATAAGGAATCCAAGCACCACGCCCACTGCGATGGGAATAAGAAAGTTCAGGTCAGAATCAGCAATGCATTCTTCAGCTGTAGAAAGAAGAAAAACAAAAAAAAGCAAGGGAGAATAAATTAGTAAGGGAAATCAAGCATTAGAAACCAAAGAAAGGAAGGAGCAAATAGGCATTTTTGAGAAATTACATTGTATTAAATACAATAATACATGTAAAATAAAATTAATATTGAGTTGACGGAAAGATTCATTTATTTAAACACATTTACTACACACATCCTTTGTACTGGTAATGTATTTCTTCTGATTTGCACATTTAATTTCAGTTTCCTCTAGCAAGCAGAGGATAGATTAGGAATGTGAGGATGAACCAGCAGTCTGAGCATGCATTAGCTGATCACACCTCAGAGTTAGCAGCAATAAATCAACAAAAACCCTACAGTGGTGTATTATGCCTTGTCCAGAGGTCTTCCCAACCCTCCAGTCACCAGCACTCCTCTGGGTTCTAGACATGAAGATGTAAGGGACAATCCAAGTAACAAAGCAAAACCTTAGTAAGACCTACAATAGACAGCCAAGATAAATGTGGCTCCAGGCACCACATGGAAAATACTGACAGACTCCATTGAGGTGGGTAACTTTATTTTCCAAGATAAAGGGTTAATACTTTCAGCTGAGACCTACATAGACCTCACTGAAATCCACATCAGAGGGAAAAATAGAAGAGACATCCATAACGCTAGAGTGGTTTTTAATGTACAGGTTGTAAAACATGTGAGGAGCTCCTTGCTGGTAAAACCACTCATCAATGATTAGCAAACCACGCTGGGAACTGTTTTCAAACTCAGGGGCAGGGCTTGGCATCATAACCTGTTTGTAAGGAGAGCACAGCTCCACCTGCCTGTGCCAGGAGAGGTTTGGTACAGCAGGCCATGCCTGGGTTCTCCAGTACTGGAATGGTGCCTGACTTACATGTGTTTCATAAAGCAGCACTCCTTGTAAAACTATTTTGAGTTTTTAATCAGGAGAGAGCATCAGACACAGAGTAAATGCTTCCTCAAACTGCTGTTTTTCATCGAATCAGCATTAATTATGGGAAATGTATTGTCTTGCTTTAGCTTATTACAGTCCAGCACACACTTGCCATGGCCTGTTCCTGAAACACTACACAAAGTCTTTGACTAAGAGCAAGGAGAACAACACATGGAGGCTCAACAGCCGAAAATGCTGAATTCAGATTATCTGAAGGGACCTACTGCCAAGTAGAGCAACACTTGGAAGGAAAAATAACCAAAAAACAAGAGGAAAGAAAATATGCATCTTATACAGCTATTTCAAATTATTCTGACTGAGAAAATATTTAAACATCTTAAAGAGATACATGCATTTGATGTTTAGTCATCTTTGTCCACTAACAGAGACAATTTGCTATATGCAGGGTAATGGGTCACTAAACACTAACACTAAATATGATTTGCTAAGGATGAAGGAGCCCAGCAGGCAGTGACAGAAATTCCCTCTCTTCTTCAAAGGAAGGAGATGGCTGCAGTACACATCACACTATGGCACTGTTACAGGGAATTCCCAGGGTGAAAAAGGGGTAAAGGTTTCATACCAGGAACATTCCATCCTTGCTGGCACACATCTATCCAGGTATGGCTACTGTACAGTGTTTGGAAGCTTCAGAGGGGTGTCTTCAAGTCCAGAATTGGGAACTACAGCCCAACACACGGCAGGGCCAGCAGGAACAGCTTTTTTGACTGACGTAGCTGAATGTGTCTCCATTCAAAAAAGCCAGAAATTTTTGGCCCAAAATTTTTTTAGCCCCCGTATAAAAGCTGCCTTCCCTTTTAATTCCAATCATGAGATTCAACCAATAGCCCCGAAGTTTGTGTTTTATTAACGTATGCTAAGAAATAGAGAACAGTGTGGTAAATAAAAGAAAATTTAAAAACCAGCCAAACAAAAAACCAAAATAAGGAACAAACGAACAAAGAAAATGCCCCTTCCAAAATCCAAATCCCATCATTCACTGGCTAGAAATGCTACTTTTGAGGACTATTAGCATGACATATTTAACCTAAAATATCAGAAATACTGACATTTTAGAATACAATATTTAGTAAACTGTATATAAGGTACTAAACAAACTACACTCTATTAATAGGTTTTACACATTAATATTCCACATCCACGGGTGTTAAGTACATCCACGATTTAAATGCTGTTTCCACAGATCAGAACAAAACCAGCTGTGTAACAGAATCTCAGATACAGACTGATTAGAGTTCACCTTACTCATTGAGTTTATTTTCTTTAAAAAAGACAATACAAGATGTCTGTTTTCAAATCAGTTAAAAAATGTGAACAAGTTTCCTTAAGAAATAGAACAATCTTTATTTTTTAGAGCACAGGTTAAACAGATTTGACAGTTCCCTATGGAGCAATACATACAGGAAAACTAGTGGTTTTATAACAACAGGAAGTCAGGTGAAACTGATGTTTTTTGAACCAGTTACCTGCACATCAGTCTAGGAGTACTTAAAAGTCTGAGCCAATATACTTATACAGGTTTTTGTAATGGTATTTCTAATGTTGATTTTAGGAAGCAGTTTGCATGAATCTTCTATATTATCTTGGAAACTTTATATTAACTTGGAAACTGTGTACAGTTCAAAAATTTGCAAGGTCAGAAGAAGAGTGTGATGATTACTCCTTAACAGAAATGCATGTTTAACTGGTGCCACTGAACATCACTCACAAAAAAAAAAAAAAAGCGCTAAAAAATCTATATGAACTTTTGCATTTGAGGATATATTAATATGAAAGTCATGAGACCAATTTTTAAAAATGAAAATGGTAAGTCTTGAAGCTTGTTTCACGATTAAATTTATAACAGTTCCCCACTTTCATTAAAATGCATTTCAGTAACTGATGCAAAATTCAAGCTGTAGACTACAAGCTATAGTAAGCATTATCCACCCATACATGCTTCCTTGGCTAGTGTCAAGAGTAAACTGTCTTTACAAAAAAAAAACCAAAACCAAACCCAAACCATTACTGAAAGAAGTGTATTTTATGATTTGTACACAAACATGCCACAGACATCTCTACAACCCTAGAGAACACTAATAAAACACTAGAGCAGCTTTGATGCAGGCTAAACTCATTCTAAAAGGGGAGACAATGTTATGTTCATTAAA